AACCAATAGAGTAAGCTGGATGCTCATATTGGCTCCTACATATTCTACGAAGATCTTTATCGGTCAAACCGCATAACAACATACGTTGTTCCCTTTGTCATCAGTATGTTACTTGCCCGAGATTCAATCATCGGTATCATCATACCTAGATCAATCTCGTCACTGGCAAGTCTCCTTACTTGTTTCGTAATGCATCATCCCGTGACTAACTCATTAGTCACATTGCTTGCAAGGCTCATAGTGATGTGCATTACCGAGAGGGCCCAAAGATACATCTCCGATACACGGAGTGACAAATCCTAATCTCGATCTATGCCAACTCAACAAACACCATCGAATACACCTGTAGAGCATCTTTATAATCACCCAGTTACGTTGTGACGTTTGATAGCACACAAGGTGTTCCACCGGTATTCGGGAGTTACATAATCTCATAGTTAGAGGAACATGTATAAGTCATGAAGAAAACAATAGCAATAAAACTCAACGATCATAATGCTAAGCTAACGGATGGGTCTTGTCCATCACATCATTCTCTAATGATGTGATCCCGTTCATCAAATGACAACATATGTCCATGGCCAGGAAACTTAACCATCTTTGATTAACGAGCTAGTCTAGTAGAGGCATACTAGGGACACTTTGTTTTGTCTATGTATTCACACATGTATCAAGTTTCTGGTTAATACAATTCTAGCATGAATAATAAACATTTATCATGATATAAGGAAATAAAATAATAACTTTATTATTGCCTCTAGGGCATATTTCCTTCAAACACCAGCTCCTAAATCACATAAAGTAGTTTTCACATAGTTTGTTTTTATGGAGCAAGGTATAGTTGGTATTCCCGGATCTCCAAGTTTTTTTGGTACTCCACCCTTAAAAGTATAATTAGAAAGCATGGTGGAGATTTCAGCTTCCAGTATTTTTCTCTTGTTGGTGATGATGTCTTTCATGTACTTTGCATAAGGAGGCATGTTTAAGATATCAGTCAAGTGAGTACGCAAAAAGACTGGCCTAAGCATTTCAACAAAGCGTTCAAATTCTTCATCATCTTTCTTTTTAGTTGACTTAGGTGGAAAGGGCATAGGTTTTTGAACCCATGGTTTTCTTTCCTTCCCATGCTCACTAGCAACAAAGTCTCTTTTATCATATCTCTTATTCTTGGGTTGTGGGTTATCAAGATCAACAACTGGTTCTATTTCAACATCATTGTCTGGTTCTTTATTATTTGTTTGAGTGTCTTCATGAACCTCATCATTATCTTTTTCATTATCAGAAGGTGAGTGTTCATTATCAGATTGAGTTTCAGCATCAGAAATAGAAACATCATTAGTAGCATCAGGAGGTTTTTCTACTTCAGATTCACTAGAGGCATGCAAAGTCCTATCATTTTTCTTTTTCTTTTTCTTTTTAGAAGGGCTAGGTGCATCAGTGTTAATTCTTTGAGAATCTTGTTCAATTCTCTTTGGGTGTCCCTCGGGATAAAGTGGTTCCTGAGTCATTTTCCCTCCTCTAGTGGCTACTCTAACAGCAAAGTCATTTATATTACTATTCATTTCATCAAGCAACTCTCTTTGAGATTTAGCAACTTATTCTAGTTGAGTTTGAACCATAGAGGCATGTTTTCCTACACCTCTAACATCATTGCTAATTCTAAATAACAAGTCACTCAAACAAGCAATCATATCAGAATTGTGTTTCAATTGTTTCATAACATTTGCATTGAAGTGATATTGCTTTCAAGATAAGGAGTTCCACTTTCCCCACTAATCTTTGTCCTTGTTGCTGATTTCCTCCAAACAATCATGAATAAAGCAATGGTGGCTGGTATCTTTCAACACCCTCTCCCTTCAAATTCAAGACTTCCCGGTGATTCAGTATGCAGATGACACAATTCTGATCGTGCCTGCTTGCCCTAGACAACGACAACAAGTGGATAATTTGCTAAAGCACTTTGCTGCTCATACTGCGCCGAAGATAAATTTTCACAAATCGATCATGATCCCCATCAATATGGAAGAAACATTATTCAATCAGTTACTCAGCATCCTGGGATGCAAAAAAGGAAATTTCCCATTCACTTATTTGGGACTCCCTTTAAGTGCCAACAGACTGAAAATTGAGGATTTCATCCCTAGTTGTCAGAAAATTAAAAGGAGACTGTCAGGATGCTCTACTATGCTTTCATATGATGGAAGACTTCTCTTGATAAAATCAGTCTTCTCTGCCCTGCCAATATTCTTTATGAGCACACTGGCACGCCTGCTTCAGTCACCACACAGATTAATAAATATTGAAGAACATTTTTGTGGAGAAAATATGGGCAACTGATTGTTGGGCCTGCTCTGATTGCCTGGGACAAGGTTTGTAGAACAAAAGATCAAGGAGGCCTAGGCATTTTTGATGTTGTAATTCACAACAAGCCACTACTAATGAAGAACATTCAAAAGTTTCTGAACAAGCAACCTCTTCCTTGGGTAAATCTTATCTGGGAAACATACTACTGTTAATCTCTCGCTGGATTTAAAATGGAAGGATCTTATTGGTGGAAATGCCATTTCAAACTTCTACTAGACTACAAAGACAACCCAGTCTGTAAAATAGGTGATGGAGGTACTTGTTGCTATGGCATGATTGTTGGCTTGATTAACCTCTCAAGCACAAATTCCTAGAACTACACTCATATACATTGGATGATTCCCTCTCTGCTAGGGATTGGTTTCAACAACAGGATAATACCCAGCTGTTTCACACACCAATGTCCACACATGCCTATAACTAGATTCAATTATTGGAAAACCTACTTCAGAATCAGGCAGAAGTACAAACCAATGACAAATGAGCATGCAAAGGACAGAAAAACAAATTTTATTCCATCATAATGTACCAAAATTTATGCCCATGGCAGGAGAAGCAGATAATATTCAAGTGGCTTTGGAACAATGCTTGCAGACTAAGATATAAAATCTTCTTATGGTTATTAATCCATGATAGGGTAAATACCAGAAATCTGCTCAAAAGGAAGAGCTTCCACTTGGATTGCTATGAGTGTGTGTTCTACAATGAAAAGGCAGAAGAAACTTTGAGACACCTGTTTTAGGATTGTGGCTTTCTGCAAAACTGCTGGAACAGTGTTTTGCCAAGGAAAAAATTGGGAATATCTTGTATTGATGACATTCAGTTAGGACATCAACTTCTTCCGAAGAGCATTGCTATGGTATTATAATACAAGGGTGCTAGTCCACTTGGTGTCAAAGAAATGGGAAATTTTTTAGAACAGAAACCTCTAGTATCAATTGTGGGAAATTCAGGCTAAAGGAGGATTTGAGTTTACTGGTTCATAGAATTAAAAGGAAGCATCTAAACACCCTCCTATAGTGGATTAAGGATCATCTGGAATGACTCCTCATATAGACATAACATTATTTTAGTGGTATGATGTTGGAAAAAATTGGCATTGGTTAGAGGCTAGAGACTATCTTTTTTGCTTTTTATTTGTAGATATTGTAACCTTTATATTACTTTAATAGAAAACTAGCATAGAGCTACTGTTCTACGGTTGGTACTTCAAAAAAAATATCTAACTATACAACACATGCATGGAGCTTTTCGGGCATTGTGCAGTCTCACTCGTCCACGGATCTATCTATCTTCTCCTTCTAGTTCTAGGGATTAAAGAATTAAAAGTAGATAGAGAGTTTATTACGTAAACTTATCCGTAATCATAATAGAGTTACCGATAGTTTGACAAAATATCTAATTGTTGTAAATGTGCTACATGAGGTGAATTTGCCTTTAGAGTGTCTACGCCCTTGGAATAAAACTCTCTTTCACCTGAAAAAAAAAAGTTAGCCTGACGGTGAGAAGACGCGTGCAGACACGTACGGCAGCACGTGTCGGGCGGTTTGACTGGCCGGTGCCAAACATGTGTGCATGGAGACCAGGTAGAGTGAGTGAAGTATACGAGACAAACGATGCATGCGGTGAGATGGTGGATTTATTGGGGGAGGCGCAGGCGCAGGCGGCCGTTTGGATGGATATACATGCATTGACGGTTAAAGCAACCGCTACCTGCATGCATCCTTAACTGTGCGTACGTCTGATGTGCATGCATGCATGCATGTAGCTTAGCCCAGGTGAGCCTAAGCAAGGGGGCAAAGGCTCATGCATGCATGCTATTTCCTCTGTACCGAAATACATGTATTTCGGTACAGAGGGAGTAGTACATGGATGGATGAACTGGACGACGAAAGGGCCGGCCAGGGGCATATATGCACGCACATGGCACAGGGCATGGCCGCATATGTTTCATCAATGGATCGATGGACGGGTGATCGATGCGGCCGACCGGTAGCATATGCCTGCGTATTTCTCCGCTCCGGTATGCCATGTCGCCGATGCATGCATGCCTAGCTAGTACTAACACACAGGAAAGGTACCAGAGAGCGACCGTTGTTGCGGCCATGGGCAGGGCCGTTTTGTTGGAGCCAGTAGTCACGGGTATCTCTCTCTCTCTCTCTCTGAGCATCCGGGAACGGAGCATCGTTGTCGACGGGCGGCATGGACGAAAGAAAAAAAGGAAAAGAAGCACGGATCACGCGGGCCCCGCACGCGACTTATCCAACTGCACCGCGCGTCTATCTAGCCTCCCTCTCTCTCGTGCATGCACTTGTCGCCTCAGGACCGTTTGATCCGGTTATGGAACTAGTATGATTCTGGAACAACTACTCTGGACCATTGGATTGAAATCGGACACATGACGAGCGACCGACCATCTGTGCACAGCAACCAGCGTCAGTGTCAAGTCCCAAGCCGCCCGCGCCTTTAAAAGCCCGGCCGAGGGCTCGTCAATATCAGCACAACCGCAGCACCGCAGGTAGCAACTGAAACCTACGCCAGCTCAAGTCTATAGGGTGAGTCAGTGAGGAGAGCAGTAGCCAAATCTTCGAAGTACCTAGTTAGCTCTCCATCCTTCAGCTAGCCAAATCCCAGGCATGGACGGAAAGAAGAAGCCCACTGCTGCGACTGGGAGCTCCATCGTCGACGACCTCTTCGGCCCCAAGGACGGCGCCGCCTCCTCCTCCGCGGGCTACTTCAGCACCGTCTTCCCAACTCCATCCGGGGTATATATGCATCTCAATACTTTCCGGCTTAATCTTCGATCTTAATTTTGTGTGTGCGTTCGCCTTCAGTTCAAACTTTCTTTTCTGTCGAAAAAAGGGCGAACATGCATGTGTACAACGTCCCCGATTTGCTTACCTCTCACCCACACAAATTACTACTAGTTCCAAGTCCATCGTTTGCAAAAAAATAATAATTAATTCCAATAGGCTTTCTTTCATTTTCTACCGGTTGAATATTAGTTTTAGAAAAAGATTTGATCAATTTCTTTACTAGAAAATGCATGGTCAAAGCATGGATTAAATAAATAAATCAGCATGGTACATGGATAATGCATATCGCTTCATGCGAGACGAAAGCACTTTTGTTTACATCAAACACGTGCGCATATAAACCACAGTACGTATATGTAGTATGTCACTTAGTACCAGACTAGCTAGTTAGTAATCTACTCATTAGTTTATCCTCATGCTGTCATGCATGCATGTACCTTTTTTTACATGCATGACGATGTGATCCAAAACAATGGACTGGTGGTGTTATACTTATATCGTCTACGGACTACGGTGCATATACTTCATGTACATAGTACTATCAGAGGAGCATTTGTTCGGCACGTGTGTGATATTTTTGGTTGCTTAATTGGTCAACCACGTACTTATTACGTGTGCATATATATGTATTGGTAATGGCAGGCGACGGGGAAAGATGCGTCACTCCGGGCAGCAGCAGCAGCTGGGAATAAATCATCGTCGGCAGGGCATCAGCAGCAAGGAAAGCAGCACGGGGGGTCACCTGAGTCGCCTTACTTCGGCTCCTCTTCCGTCCACTATGGCGGCCGGGACTTCTACGCCGGCGCCGAATCTCAGCGGCAATATTCGGCCGCCGCTGCCGCACCGGCACCCAAGCACAAGGACGACGGCGACACGTCGGCAGCCACCCGGGGTGACTGGTGGCAAGGTCGGTCCATCTCAACCTACCTCCTACGTACACTCCCTTTCATAAAGTACTAGTAGTAGTACGTATTGACTGTCTCTACGTTTTGACTAACTGAACCCCTTTTTTCCCCAGGTTCCCTCTACTACTAGCACTAGCAGGAAAAAGAGACTGGTGTGAGATGAGCGAGATATAAATAAAATGTACAGCTAGCTACCTCATAATAGCATGCTTCATCATCGTTATTTCACTGGGTGGAGAAGATGGTCGGTCCAGCGATCATCAGCTTAACTAATTAGTATTAAGCTACTGTTATGTTAGAGCTTGTGTGTGTCTACCTAGTTGGGACATGGGTCCTCTCATGTGTGTACTACTGTGCTCTTGTAATATGCCTTCTTCACACTAATATTGGCCGTGCGCTTGTATGTGTGTGCTATGGTTTTGGGAAACGTTTGGGGCCGGGGCACCGGCGGAACGATTCGGCCGGTCTCCCTCTTCCTCGCGCAGCGCACGTATAGGAGGGCACCAGCGCCGGCAGGCACCACGCGTCGGCCAGGCGACCAGCGCGCTCCTTCGACCGCCGCCGCCAGAGAAGAGCGCCTTGTCGTCCGCGTGCGGCCGCCCCTCACCGGATGTCGTTCGCGTGCGGCCGCCCCTCGCCGGATCTCGTTCGCCTGCGGCCGCCCCTCGCCGGATCTCGTGCGCCTGCGGCCGCCCCTCGCCGGACTACTACCCCTCTGCCTCTTCCCAGAATCCGCCCCTCTGCCTCTCCCTGGAATCCGCCCCAGCCGCCCCTCGCCAGACCTTGCAGCGCTCGAGCCTCCCCAGCCATGGCAGACTACACCCCACGGTGATTTTTTTTGTTAGAACCGGTTGTAGCAAATTCAATCGCCGGTGGTAGCAAAAATCTACTACTGTTGCAGCAAGACGCTACATCTAGTAAATAAAAAAGCTTCAAACCAGACTCGGAACACATGAAGAGCTGCAACCGTTTTAACAAAAGCTTCATCCCGCAGATGAAAAAGTTTCAACCCAGAGATTGAAAATCTTCAACCAGACACTACAAAAGTTGCAACCGTTTAAAAAAAAGCTTCATCCCGCAGATGAAAAAGCTTTATTCCGCAGATGAAAAAGCTTCTACAAGAGATCGAGAAAGCTTCAACCAAAATGTTGAAACCTGCGACGATGTCATTTTTGCTGGAACCAGCGGCATCGTTTGCTACAACCAGCGACTCACTTTGTTGTGACCCTTCACGACGAGCTACAACTGGCGACGATGACGGCGACGAGTTTTTGCTATAACCGCACTGGATTTTTCTGCTGGAAGTGGCTTCATTTTTTGCTGGAACCGACGGATTTTTTTGCTTCAAACGGTGACATTCGCAGAACTTTTGCTGGAACCGGCCATTAGATTTGCTGGAAAACGGTGACGGCGAGGACGGCGACCGGCGACCAGGAGCGGCAAGGACGGCGACCGGAGGCGACAAGGACGGCGACGGAGGCGAGGACGACGACCGGGCGGCAACAAGGACGGATATCGGCAATCGGGGGCAAGAACGGCGACCTGGCGGCAACAAGGACGGCGACCGGGGGCGAGGGCCACGAGCCGGCGACGAGGACGGCCATCAGAGGGGACTGGAGGCGCGGCGACGAGGGCACCGAGCAGGAGCTACAGATCTAACCCGAGGTAGAAGAAGCCCAGGACGAATCGTTTCTTTTTTTGCTGCATCCAATGGTCACGCGGGCTCGCATCCAAGGGCTAGGGCTGGACCGGCCGAAACTTTCGGCCGGTGCGCCGGCGCCTAGCATCGCCCTATGGTTTTGCCTCTCCAACATCGAATTAGTCAGGCTTACTGAAAAAATCGAGCACACTGAATTCGTGCCTCCTTAGGCCTTGTTTGGCACATAGGGGTTGAACGGGCTTTTAGTGGATTTTCCCCGTCGGGCTTGCAAGCCCCTAAAAGCCCATGTGAATCGTTTCGTGCACTGAGCATCAACCGAGCCAGCCCCGAATATCTTCTCGTATCCTCCCCGATCCACGGGGCTTTCCAACATCGAGGGGTACCTCGCGGCTCGCAGGCCTCGCGCAAGAGGGAGACGAGACGCAGTCGCAAGAACCAGGCGCAGCAGCCGTCTCCACCGCCGCCGACGCCGCCGCCGGACGCCTGCTTCCTCTTCTTCCTAGAGCAAGCTGGCCATCTCCCCTGAGGCACTCCTCCCCCCTCCCCCCATCTTCATCTAGGGTTTCTCAATATGGCCGCTGCCGATTGGTCCGTCGTTCGTATCGTAGTCCTCGACGAGCTCGCCAAGCACGTCGTCACTGAGAGCCACCACCGTTCCTCTCTCCTTTCCAGCACCACCAGCACTACCAAACAACAATTTTATGTGAAAGGGAATATTGGGGCTGGAGATGGGATGAAACGTAGGGGATTAGAGGGGATTGGTGAAGGGGAGGGATTCACCAAATCCCCCAAATTCCCCAGCCCCTGTGGGGCTTGAAAACCTCTGGTGCCAAACAAGGTCTTAGTGGGATTATTTCGTTGAAAGTCACAAATAGATTGTCTTATGTATGTATCTGCGTTTGTAGGTTATCAAATGTGGTTTCGTCCCCCCTTGTTTGGAATAATCTAAATTAAAACGACGCTTTACTTTCTCTGTCCTACTTAAAACTATGTTATGCATTAACTCAATCAAATCCTACCAAAACCATGTGTTCCATTAACAAAATCAAATCAACCAAATCTTACCTAAACTTTAACTAAATCAAAAAAATTCTTACTTTGCTCTACACATACCCACATCGAATGTAATCTTACCAAAATCTCAACTAAATCAAACCTTTTCTTCCCTTCCCCTATCCATACTCATATGAAATCAAACTTAGCAAAAATCTAGAATATGGTGTGTAACATATATGTCGAACATAATTGATGTACCATTAGAATATGCATGCCATGGTTGCAATGCATGGCCAATTAGCTAAATCATATTAAATAGCTACCTCATAATATGAATATACATTTTTTTACGATTGTTAAATTTTGGAGTTAATACCACCCCGCACACTCTACTTGGCCAAGCAATAGGTAAAATATCAAATTCAATCCCATAGGAGTTATATCTCAGCTATACATAAATCCCACCCTCTCGTGGCAGTGCACGAAAAAATATACTCCCTCCATTCCTAATATAGGCTGTGTAGTTTTTGACACGGAAATTAAAGAACGTACGTGGAGGGAAATTTTTCATAAGTTTTGGGCGAGATTTCACCTGACTAATTAACATGAGAAAATAGAGGAGCTTGCCTGATATAAGGAAATGTAATCAAATCCCTAAAAAAATATCCAAACGAGTGGTGCAACGCAATACACCTTAATTTCAGATTTTTTTTCTCAAAAAACTATACACCTTATATCAAGGAACGGAGGGGGTATTTGATTTTGCGAACCAATCTGTGGTTGGATGGTTAGGAGGACAGTGGTATCTCCAACCCACCAGGGTTCAAGTCCTAGACTCGACATCGGTGCTCGCATCTTCCTAGATTTATTTCACGCCTTCCGGCGATGTGCGTTCAGTGGGTGGGGACGTTCCGTCATCTATGAAAGCGTTTAAAACGACTATGTCAACCTCAAGGTGTTGTGCCAGCTAAGTCTCTCGCGGGTGCTCATAGGAGTAGTATGTTATGCAAGCATGTGTGCGTTCATAGAGGTGATCATATATGCTTATGGTGAATTTCACGTTCAACCCCATATTCGTAACAAGGCCGACAACTTCGCATGGACCCTTGTCGCCGTGTATGGGGCAGCCCAGGATTAGTTCAAGGCCGATTTTCTCCGTGAGTTGGTTAATCTGGCGAAAGATAATCCCTATCCCATTCTTATAGGTGGGGATTTCAATCTGCTTCGATTTCCAAATGAGAAAAGTCGCGCTAGGTTTGATAATCATTGGCCTTTCCTTTTCAACATTGTCATTGACAGTCTTGATCTACGTGAGGTGTCCATGATTGGAAGACAATTCACTTGGGAGAACAGTCTTCCGAAACTGACATATGAGAAACTAGATCGCGTTTTAATGGATACCGACTAAGAAATATGAAACTAATTTTATCAGCATTCGAGCAACTCTCGGGTCTCAAGATCAATTTTCATAAAAGTGAATTGTTTTGCTTTGGTGACGCTCAAGATGAGGCCCACCTGTACGCTGAACTGTTCGGATGCTGGTTGGGCCAGTTTCCAATCACATATTTGGGGATACTGATACATTATCGAAGACTCACAAATGATGAATGGAGACACATCGAGAAGAGACTGTAAAAAAGACTTAGTAGTTGGAAAGGTAAACTGCTATCTCTGGGTGGAAGATTGGTCCTCATAAATTCAGTACTAAGTAATATGGTACTATATATGGCTTCCTTCTTCCAGTTGCCAAAAGGAGTCTTATATAGATTGGATTATTTCCGATCAAGATTCTTTTGGCAAGGAGATAGTGAGAGGAAGAGATATTGACTGGCCAAATGGAGTGCGGTTTGCCGTCCCAAAGACTAAGGCGGGTTGGGCATTCATGATCCCGAGGTTAAGAATAGGGCCCTACTTGGCAAATGGTTGTTTAAATTACTGACGGAAGATGGTGTATGGAAAAGACTCTTAAGGAGGAAATATGCAGGTTCCAAGGCGGTATCTCAAGTGTACTGGAAGCCTGGGGATTCCCACTTTTGGGCGAGTCTAATGGCTATGAAGAAATATTTCTTCTGCTATGGATCATTCTCAATTAAGGATGGTTCGGAAATTAGATTCTGGGAAGAAAAGTGGCTAGGAGATGCCACACTCCAAGAACAATATTCGGTTCTATACAACATTGTGCACCACAAGGGTGATACTATTGCTATGGTAATGGAATCATTTATGACAAATGTGACATTGAGAAGATATTTAATTGGACCCAGACTCCAATCGTGGAACATCCTGCTCCAACGGTTGTCCACGATGCATTTGTCACATGGGTCTGACATTTTTCGATGGAACCTCCACGGGAATGGATAATTCTTAGTGGAGTCGATGTATAGAGCGTTAATCCAGTCTGATGTGCCAGTTGATACTAATAAGAAGATCTAGAAAATGAAGATGCTTCTTAAGAATAAAATCTTTGCATGGTA